CTCTTGGAAAGTTCTTCAGGCTTGAAGTCTAAACTGTCAAACCTCAGACCTTATGTAAGTGGGCCAGGAAACAAAAATGTCATTTTAATTTATTTCTCTCATTTTATTTTGATCACTTAAAGGAGGACCTTGAGCCCTTTTCAACTGTAGTTGAGAAGAGCCGACAAGCGAGCTATGATTTTGGGGGTACTCGCAGGATGAGAGATGCTGGCTTCAGCTTTGAAAGGTCAGAAACGAACCTTTTTTAAAATTTTTCATCGTAAATATGAAAAAGTAAGCCTAGGAAATATTAATTTCGCCTGGAGAAGAATGAGAGAGAAGATAGGGGTCTTTTAGGGAAGTGGGCAGATTTTCAGTCCCTGAAAAGGACAATGAGGCTTCAGAGAAAAGATAGTTTGGGGAGAGCTTGTAGTGCCCATCAGAAAAGTACTAGAGTGGACTTCTCATTGATTAAGGAATTATGGCAAGCACATTCTTCGCCAAGAGCAGGTGAAAAATCTGTCATGTCGGGGAAAAAANGTGTGTGTGTGTGTGTGTGTGCGTCCTCTACGCCGTAGTCGCCCGAATGGGAGCTCGTAATTTTAATTCCACTCAAGCAGGCGAGTGACAGCCATGTACTTCATCTTGTTGGGACACATTTTTACACATTTGGGAACAGACCAAAAAACGTTGTAGTACCACTCACCTTTGGCGTAATCTTTTGTGATTTCGACCGTTCCTTCTTCTACCATCGGTCGGATTCTGTAATTTTACACATTTAAAATTTGATCAAAATACTAATTAAATCCCCAGCAACGACGACCATAGCAGCGGTCGAAAGAAACACGAACGGAATGTAACGAGAAGGCGTTGTAAAGCAAAACATCACCAGAGAAATTGCCTTCCAACCGATGAAATGCACACAACAACGTTTAATGGCTTTTGGTAAAAACGGTATTTGGCTCGAAAAAAAAACCCCCATGAATCCCCTACTGGATTACCTTCAAACGGGATAGCGAACAAATAGAAGGGCATTTTTCATCCGGAGCAATCAATCTGTAAAGGGGAATGTAAGGGAATACGTCTAGCCAATTAGTATGATGTAATCGGATTCTTACCAAAGCTTTAAAGAACTACACAGCCTACACTAACAAAATGACTGTCCGGAATTCGCCATATCTTCAACTTCTAGTCGGAACCACTTCGATGATGTACGAAGCTTTTCGCATGAGAACTGGAATCGTTTTTCTCCTCTACACTCCTCTGAACCACTTCCAGGAGTGTTTGTTTGAGCGTAGCCCACCGCTGAAGACTGTTAGTCCGGCTCGAGTACAACAAGCATCGCCACTTCTCCCTTTCCCAAGCTCATAGTTTTATTTCAGTCGTTAACAAAAACTCAAATCCAAGGCCTTTGACTCGCTGAGAGTTGACGTAAACCGATGCCAGCTTTGGGATGCGCCCAGCATGCGATTTTCATCAAGAATCGTGCTAGCGTTTAAAGGCACAGTTCACGATAATTTTGAGGTACTTGCTTTTATTCAAAGATTGGAAGGATAGATTGGTGATAGTTCATCGATGGTAAAGAAGCGAGAGAATTCGCCGATTTCAAAAAAACTACTGCTCAAAAGTAGGGTAGATATCGGTTGGACGAGATTGCCAAGACGAAAATAACAGGGGTATTCGGACGAGATTCCAGTCGTTGTTATTGCGCAAGGAGCTGACTACATCAGGTCAAAACTGTCGGTCTGTCGCTATGGGTCATGAAAAGTTGTTTGAACTTTCCACATGGGTTCCCTTGTGATCGTTGCAGCCTCTATAATGCCGGTGAAACTCGTCCAAGGATTCACACGGGTCAATCCTTTAGCCTCTATAACTCCCTAAGTAGGCCGTTTTCCGACCTAGTAGTGCAAGATATGTCATGCATGGGGGCCTCGAATTCATCCTGTGGGGGAATCTCAGAAACCATTTTCATCGTGAACTGTGCCTTTGAAGCGTATTTTGCCTATACAATAAGTTGCGGAGTCCAGTCAGTACTTTCATCCCCCTAGACGAGTCTGCTACCAATTAATCGACCCCGGAGGGAAGGAAGGGCTTAGGTGGCCCAAGCGGATATCGATCCGGGATTCGAACCCCTGACCGTACGTGTAAAATAGTGCGCCATTTGCCACTACACCAACTTCGTCCTTCACAAAAATTGCAAAAAAATTGTTTAATTGGGATAGATGCACAAGGTTTTTCGGCGTCAGGCTGCAGGGATGACCGAGTGGGGTGAACAAAAAATATGCCAATTGACCTGACAGGATGGAAGCAAGTGATCCTTTCAACGGTTAACAGCTCAAACAAGATGATAAATGAGTTCTCATTCCCCTGAGAAAGATCTAGATAATCGTTTGGCATATGAGACCTTATGAAAATGTAATATTAAGAGCAGATATAAAGAAAAGGGAGTGCAGGACGCTCCTTCCTACAGATTCGATCAATTCGGAAAATGGTCATCGTGGGTCGTCAAGAAGGACCGTGCAGCTTGTCTGCTGATGGTATCACGTAGTGTTTGCTGAGTGAGCAAGAGTGTTGGCGGAAAAACGAAAACAAGGGGGACCCTTGACAGGACATCCTAACACCTGCTGGAAAACACTTAAATGCCGGAAAGAAACTAGATCTATAGTGGGATAAAGGGATAAAGTCGTTCGACCCTACGCATTTAACTTCCCTTCAGAATCGTAGTGGCGTTGGAATGGGTACGTGGCCTATACAATGACTTGCGGTGATCAATCGATATACGTTTCAGTGCTTTTATCCACCTAGACGAGTCATTTAGCAATTGACCGACTCCAGGATGTTGGGAGGTTCGCTGCATCAGGGATGTATCCCAGAGTCAGCGAACCTGGATGAGATGGGGATGAGTGGTTCGATCCCCGGACCATACGTATGATAGTGCACTACGTAGCACGACATCGTCTACGCTCCGGTTATAATCTTTTCTGATAGAACCTAATATAAATGTTTTTTTGCGAAATTAAGCTCCGCACAGGAAGCTACGAGCTCTCTTTGAAAGCTCTGTCCTCGATGTTTCCATTGAAATCAGCAAAACAACTCAGCTAAATGCTTTGGGCACTCTTTGAAACCAAAAATCAGAGTCATGGGAGATACTTGAAAGATCTCGTAGTATCCTCAAGCCAGGAGTAGGATAAAGGACAATTGGACAGGGTAAATGAGTCTTGAACAATGCTTATTTGGAACTAGTTCAATGACTCGACTTCCGTTCAAAATCTTCGATACCTTTTGAAGCTTATCCGGCCCTTTCATCAAACTGCAGCACCAGCCGACATAAAAGTCAGGGATTTTACCTTCCTAATCCACACTGACACCGTTTGACCGAAACCAAAGAAACAGGAAGTTCGGTTGGTTCAGGTAGTAACCCGGTGTTGGTCCGTAAGC